GTCTGTGAACAGATGGACAACACCTCAGGAAGCAACCAGGAGTCAAACCTGAGGAGCTCTGGGCAACAGGGTCCACTTCATGCAGTGCCTTTGTGTCTGTCTGTCTGTGTGTCTGCCAGTCTGAAATAGAAAGGCATGCTTGCAATCAGGTCCAGCGAAACCTGTGCTGTACACCTGGCTTTGCACCAGAAGAAAGTGGTTTGGTTTGGGTTTCTTACAAAGCACCAATTTCAAATATTTTAGCTTTGGTTTATAAGCCTTCAAGAAGGACATTTTTTTTCCCTTATTTTCTTACATTTTTTTTTCTCTCTCTCATGTGCAGACACACACACACACACACACACACACACACACACACACACACCTCACAGTAGATTCTGATGTGTATCCGACCATCAAGACTGTTTGCAAGCTTTGAGCAGAAAGTGCTTGCTGTTCTTCCAGTCCTGGCTGTAATTCCAGCTCCAAGAGAACTAGTGCCCTCTCCTTCCTCCTCAGGCAGGGCATGCACATACCTGCATACAGACCCACACATGTAAGCCCCAGCACTCCCAAACACCTTCTTCTCTGTGAATCCCTTGTCTCTGACTTCTTGCCAAAGGCTTTGTTCCTCTGCCTTTCTGGGTGTTGGGCATTCTTCTGCAGGTGAGAACTATTAATTTCAACTAATTCCTAACACTTGGAGGGGAGCTCCTTTTGATGCAATAAAATAGCTCAAAAAGTACTATAATTAAGATTAGGAAAAAGATTGTTTTTCTCATCCTTCAGTGAAAAACTGGTAGCCACTTAGAGGAACAGAAAACCTGGTATCACCAAAATAGGACTAGAGCCTGTTGCCCTAGTGCCCTCCTGGGTACCTTGGCTTCTGGACTTAGCCATCTCATCTGCCTCATGTGCCAACAGCTAGAGAGGCCTTACCATAGGATGTCATGGTCCCTCCCAACTCCTCCCAACATGTGTGTGCACCGCCTAGATGCCCAGGCCTCTTCTGCCAAATCTCCAGGCCCTCCCCAGCTCTTTACTTCTCATACTGCACTCTTCTGAGTCCTTCCTGAGCAAGTCTGTACATCACACACTGCGTGTGGGGTTCTGCTTTTGCGGTTTTGATACTGCTTGCGCCACGTTGCCTTACTTGTTAGTCACCTGTTTGACATCTTCATTCTCTCAAAAACTTTGAATTTGAGCACATAACAGCCAGGCTACAGAGTGCAGTAAAATAGGACTTGTAAGTTAGCAGAAGAAAACAAATGAGCCCAGTCTTCCCAGATTGGAGAGGAGGGAGCCAGGCAGGGCTGTACTCACATTCCTGCCCTCACATCCCAGGGGAGTTGGCAGAGGCATACTATACAATCCTTTGCACATGGTGCCTGCTTGTTCAAAATCCTGCTGAGTTGAGCTGAATGAAGAGAGGAGATTTCAGACAAGGAGATGGACTAGGAGAGGACCCTAGAGGAGACTGTTCCTCTGAAGTTATGGCTGGCCTATAAGAAGTGCTGTTGGGGAAGGGGCTTCTCCTGGGCCTTCCCTAGCCTTAGCACCTGGCTTTACCTGCCTCCTTGGAAGCCAGTGAGGGGAGGTAGAGCTTGGCAGAGCTGCTGTTGAGCTGTAAGGTTAGATTGAATAAGAAAGAAGGGTCTTTGTCCGCCCCTGCCCCCGTTGTTGGAGGAAGGCTGAAGGGAGCACCTGCACCTCTTCTCACATTGGTTCCCTCCGAGGCGGAGTTAGGGTTGCCACAGTTCAGCTGGTTAGCGGAAGGAACAGTCCTTACCAGAGCTACTCCAGGGATTAGGCAACCTTGCTTGCACTCTTGGGATATTGTAAAGCTTGGGTGTGGGGAAGAAAGCTACCCTCAGCATGGCACTGGCCTGTGGCTCTGCCAGGTGGGCCTTTTCGTGATCTTTCTCATCCAGCAGGCTCTTGTTCCCAGCAAAGGGGCTGGAAAACAGCTTCTCCTATACATTATTTGGTCCCAGATCACTCATAGGTAGAACATTCCGGTTTCTTGCATAAATTTTAGTCCACCTACTTCATGATCCTACTCGGTCTACATGTTCTCACCTGAAAAGAAGCAGACCAGGCTCCCAGAGGTGGCCCTGGGATTACAAAGCTCATTGTTTACTAGTGAGCACATGGATTGAGGGCTGCTTGGTGAGGGGTGAGAGGCTACGTGTTCCCTGAAGCAATCTTGCACCCCAAGTAAGCACTCATCATTTACAGGGACTCTAGTAAGGGCTTTACCAGCCGTGCCAGCCTCTCATCATTTACAGGGACTCTAGTAAGGGCTTTACCAGCCTTGCCAGCCTTCACGAGGAAGCAGACAGCGCTGCGTAGATGCTGAAGTGACTGTGGTTAGTTACAGAACAGGAAGACAGCCACACAGAGACTCGGGAAACACAGTGCTCAGGCCATGCAGACGTTTGGGTGTTCCTGGGGTAACTACATTGTTGTGGAGGAAATGGGTGGTTATTGTGCTGCCACCAGGCCAGGAGTCTCGTCCAGCGCACGCCCATCTCCTCTTCACTCTTAAATTTCACTTTAAGATTTCCATCTAACCATGCAAGTGACTGCCAAGTTTCTAGTTTGAAACAAGTCCCAGTTAGCTGGGTATGGTGGTCCATCCATTTTACCCAGGGGCAGGTGGCTCTCTGTGTGTTCAGGCTATCCAAGGCTACAAAGCCAGACTCTATCTCAACCCCCAACCTGGCCTCCAGAAAGGGGAGGAGAGAAGTCCCAGTTGCTTGGGAGACTTTGCTTGTGTAGAAGGGCTTATTCCTTAGTAAAACAATGTGCAAAACTTCAGTGACCTTGACACCATTCCTACAGATACAACTGAGAATGAACAGCTGCTGAATGGCAGAAAGAAGCCAACTAGCTAAACTGGAAGTTTATTTGTAGTGGTCTCTTGCTTAATGAGAACGACAGCCTTGTGGTAGCTGGAACACTAGCGTAGATGAGAGGGGGCCGTGCTGTCAGGGCACTGGAGAGTTTTGTAACTGACCGTCCACATCGCAGGAAGCTGAGTCATCTGAGGATCTGTGTCTTCCTTAGTGGTTGGCAGTTAGGGTTCAGCAACTTTCTCGAAAGACTCAGAGTAAGCACTTGAGGCTTGCTTGTTGATTCAGCCCCCACCGTAGCTGGGCAGTGCTCTCTCGCCATGCAGAAGCCACCAGAGGCGTTGGGGCAAGCTTCCCTGTAACTGGAACCCAAGTGACACACAGGCAGACCCCGAGGAGAAAGCCTGCCCTGCTCTTCTGTGGCGGGATATTAGCCTTTTGTTGGCTTTGGGTTGCAGCTGAGTAGACGTTAGGGTTCTAGTATTTGCTAGGCAAGGGTCTGCTCTCAGCCTGCGGTTTCCTACTGCTGGTTGGTCTTTGGAAGGTGGGCCTATAACTTTCAACGTCTTTCTGTTGTTGAGGCAGCACGAGCTGTCACTCTGCTCTGGAGAAGAAGCCCAAGATTGCTCTGCTAGGAAATCTTGGTTGATGACCAAGAGCCTTTCCATCCGCAGTGTGTCTCTACAATGTGTCACTCTGCCTGAGAAAGCTACTTACTCTGTGTCTGTTACAACTCTTCTGAGCACGAGGTGCCTGCTATAGGAAGGTCACAGTAATTTCTGACTCTGATGTTCTTTAGACGGCCCTGTCTGTCTTTAATCTTATGCTACATTTGGAGCAGAGCTGCACTGTGGATGTGATCAGCCTGAGCAATGTTTCGCTCTGTCCAGCTTTCCCACTTGCATGACCATGCTCTGTTCCATCCAGATGTTCTTTCTGATAGGGAAGCGTTCAGGATAGGCCAGTGGAGCCATTGAAAGCCCAGAGCCTTCAGATGACCATGGGACCATGGTCGTTCCCTCCACCGAAGGCTGAGCCACTGTGTTACATGAGGCTTTCCATGGCTTCTGTAGCTGAGAATGGTCTGAGCCGTCAGGTTCTCAAGAGAAGTGTGGTTGGTGCTGTAACAAGCTAGCAGCTGAGGTGAGCAGAGGGGGTCTGCGCTCTGTCCTGTAGCCCATTGGGGGTGTACAGGCAAACAATATTGATTCTTAGTGTTCTCTCTCTCTCTCTTTCTCTCTAATTATTTAACCAGTGATGGTGGGACATGCCTTTAATCTTAGCACTCTGGAGGCAGAGGCAGGCAGATTTCTGAATTTGAGGCCAGCCTACAAAGCTAGTTCCAGGACAGCCAGGGCTGTTACATAGAAAAACCCTGTTCAAAACACCAAAAAGTAAAATAAAATAAAAAAATAATAGTTATAATTTAAATTAGCATGCAAAGTAATGGTTTCCTTGTGGCAGTTTCATGCTTAGTCCATTATGCTTTATTCTGTTGGATTCCCAATTCTTAGTTATTGCATCTCCAGAGATCAGTGTAGCTGTCTGAAGCAAGTTGCTTATGTGTTCCTTTTCCAGTGTCATGAGAACACTTGTGTATAGCCAGTGAGCTGTTGGGGTTCGACATGAGCCCCTCACCCGCCCTCCAGCTCTGGTATCAGCCACCCTGGCGGGGGCAGTGCCTCACACGTGGGCAAACAGTGGTAGGAAATACCTTGAACACATTGTCAAAATCTCTGTTCTGCCCCTTTACTCAGAGAGAGCAGAACTCAGAGCTTCCTTCCGTAGAAAGCAGGCCATTTCAGCTCAGCGCACCTCTGTTGTACAAGAGAATTTCCCCGGCGTTTGCTGCCCCAGATTTAATTTAATGGATGTTTGCCTGGTGGTGCTCTCACAGCCAAGGAGACTTAGGCTCTAGCCCCTCCTTTAGTAGCTGTATTGCTGTCTGACACCTGCCCTTGAGTCTGTCAGCCCTCCTCATTTTTACCTTCCACATGAGGGTAGGGAAGACATTCTTGCTCTACAATGGCAGGGACAAGGAAGGCAACTCTCAAGTGAACAAGGTGCCAAGGCAGTGTTTGTGCAAGCATCTGCACTTACACACTGGTTCACTTGTCAGGTGTCTTTATTGCTAGGGTAACACCATTTTCTGCTCCTTCCTTTCAGATGCCAGTATGGACAGAATAGCTGATGATGCTTGTCCCCACCCATCACTTCCGAGACATTGAGCGGAAACCAGAATACCTCCAGCCAGAGAAGTGCACCCCACCTCCCTTCCCTGGTCCCGCGGGAACCATGTGGTTTATCCGCGATGGCTGTGGCATCGCCTGTGCCATTGTCACCTGGTTTCTGGTCCTCTATGCAGAGTTTGTAGTCCTCTTTGTCATGCTGATTCCATCCCGAGACTACGTGTACAGCGTTATCAACGGAATTGTGTTCAACCTGCTGGCCTTCTTGGCCCTGGCCTCCCACTGCCGGGCCATGCTGACGGACCCCGTGAGTATGTCTGGGCTCGTTTTGACCGGCCTGCATTTTCTCCCTCTGGCCCTGGCTTGGCTGTAGCCCGCATGCTTCCATGGATTTGGGGAATGTGGAAAAAGGACAGCCAGGGCTGGTAGAAAAGTGAGCTGCTTCTTGTTAGAGGTCTTGGGATGCCGACCAGGGAAGGGGGTCCACACCTGGCTCAGAATGTGGACCCAATATCTATATACTGCTGTAGATGTTGTTGAACCTGCTGTGTCAAGGGTCGGTCAGGGAAACCCAGCCTCTGTTAGGAGGATGCAGTCAGATAACCCTAGAGACGGAGCTGGCTGGTCAGAGCAGAGAGCTGGCTAGGAGATAGGGAAGAGCTGGGTTAGCTTGCTGCTACGGAAAGCCACATCCTTCAGGGCTTGCACCAATTTAGTCCTCACTTGGCTCGCACAGATCCCTCTCTCTCGGTTTGATTGGGTGGCACACACCTTTAGTTTCAGGGAGGCGGAGGCAAATAAAAGCCAGCCAGGGCTGCATAATGAGACATTTTGTTATTGGGGGGAAGATTCCTCTCTTTCTGGAAAGCTGGTCAGGCTTGCTTGGTACGATGGCAGATGCCTCTGAGTAGGTAAAACTGTTGTTCTTTTCAGTGAGTGACTTAGACAAATGTATCAAGCAGGCAGAGGCCATGAGTATTTCTTCTACCCTGGGTTTTCCTTGTGTTGTATGGGAAGCACCCACACAGGTAATGTGTGTGGAAGCTTTTCTGTGGGTGGTAGCTGTTAAATTGAGAAAGAAAATTTCTGCTAATGGCCACACAGTTTCTGTAAGCCCAGGGAAGCACAGCACATGAAGGTGGATTGTTGATCCCTCCCACGGAAGGGCGGGTAGAGCTGCCTGAGACCTCATCTCCTGGGGCCTGTGGACTGGTGCTGATGTTACCTACAGGACAGTGGAACAGTCACCACCCGAGGCAGTGAAGTGCTTGTGTGTTCTTGAAAGTGTCCCATACATAAGGGGATAAAAGAGTGAAAACAAACTAAGGATGTATTCAGAAACGTGTGTGATGCCCTCACTGTTGGAGACAGTAGAGAGGTTACATCCTTCTGTTCTTCTCATAGTTCAGTACCAGCTCTGCTGGAGACACAGGTGAGGACAGTCGTGGCAGAGGTTTGTAGCTCGCTGTGGACAAGCAGGGAGGGCTGTCAGTCAGAGGGTGAGAGATGGAGAGCAGAGGGCAGGAGAATCTCCCATGCAGAAAGACAGGCAGTGGCTCCTCTGGGCAGCCTGTTGTTGGGGCGGGAAGACCATGGGGGATACAGATTTGGGGTCCGTGTGGTTAAGGAAGAAGAAATACATCTAGAACCCCAGCATTTTTTTATTTTTGTTCTTTTTTCCAAGACAGGGTCTCACTATGTAGCTATGAACTCACTGTGTAGACCAGGTTGGTCTCAAACTCAAAGAGATCTTCCTGTCTCTGCCTCCTAAGTGCTGGGATCAAAGGTGTGTGCCAGTAAGTCTGGCAGTAAGCATTTTTAACTAAAGACCAACGAGAGCAGAGTGTCACTGGACACGGATGGCTACAGCAACAATGTGTTCTCCTGGGTACTGGTGGGTGGATGAACAGTTGTGTTGACCGAGTGCCAGCTCTGCAAGAGGTTCCTCCCTGAACAGCAGGTACAGCTGAGCGTAAGGCAGACAGAACCCCAGCCCTCTGGAACCTCACATTGCAGTGATAAACAAGGCGATGGCAGAAATCGCTAAGTGCTGTAAGGAGAGTGAAACAGCAATGGGAGGCTGTAGTAGGCTTTAAAGGGGTACCCTATTGGGTCAGGGTAATCAAAGAAGGCCTCTCTATAGTGGCACCATTGGAACTGACCTGGATGGCATGAAGCTGCAGGCCAGGGCATGCAAAGATTTGCAGGCTGACTCGGGCAGAAGTAAAAAAGATTTTCAGAGGCCTGAGCTTAGAGTATGAGACTAAAGCATCATGCAGAGGGCACCAGAAGCAGGACCATGATAGACCTTGTAAGTTTCTCAGAATCTTGGGGAGACAGGTGTGATGATATTGTGGTTACGGTGAGATTCAGGCGGGACTTGCAGAAGAATGAGACTAGAGGCATGGGCAGCCGTTTAGGCAAGATATGGCACTGACTTGATCAAGGCAGGAGCAGAGAAGTTGTCGAATTTGGAGCTTGTGTTAAGCCACTTATTCTTAGTTTGGCTGCATAGTAAAAATTCCTTGGAGAGCTTTTAAAAGTACTGGTTCCTGCCCCTGCCCTCAGGGGTTCTACTCTGGTTAGTCTAGGGACAGAGCTCCAGGTATTGACACACTTGAAAACACCCCTGGGGCCATCAGATTCAGCCAGGCCTAAGGAAAGTTGACAAACGGAGATTGATCAAAGAAAACCTTCGGGGCTGGAGATATGGCTCAGAGGTTAAGAGGTTAACTGACTGTTCTTCCAAAGGTCCTGAGTTCAATTCCCAGCAACCACATGGTGGCTCACAACCATCTATAGTGAGATCTGGTGGCCTCTTCTGACCTGCTGGCATACGTACATGCAGAATACTGTATAAATAATAAATAAATCTTTAAAAAAAAGAAAAAAGAAAACCTTCAGTCTGAACAGGAACAATTGTGGGTGCTGGTGCTGCCTATTGCATGTGAAAGGCTAGTGGGAACTGCCATATATATTAGGTGCAAGCAGAGATGTTAGGTGAGCAGTAGAAACCGGTTGGGATTGGAGGGTGGAAGACGGACTCACTGTTGTGTGGAAGGCATTGAGGTTGGGGGCCAGGAGGCTTCTCCTGGCACGTGGGCTCTCCTGCTTGCTGCATGGAGGCCTCTCCAGGGACCTCAGCAGCCCTTGTAGCAGAACCTGATTTTCACCTTGCTTTGTGGCTCAGCTTCCAAGTCTAGGTAGCAGTTTAAGTTTCTTTCCTGTTGCTGTGGTAAACTGCTCTGACAAAAGCAACTTTGGAGAAATTTATTTTAGCTTACAGTTCAGTCTATAGCAGGGAAGTTAATGCAGGAGATTCTGGAAGTTTCTATACACAGTCAAAAGCAGAGAGCAATAAACGAATGCATGTATGCTTGCACAGAGCTTACTCTATGTTCTTACACAATTCAAGACCCAAACCCAGGGAATGATGCTACCCACCTTGGGGCAGGTCTTTCCATAGTGATTAATGCAATCAAAATAGTCGTCTGCCCTCAGCCCCCCAGACATGGTCCAAAGGTCAACCAGATGTAGCTGGCCCCACATTGAGACTCTCTTTCAGGTAATTCTAGACTGACGCTTAAAATTAACCATCACAGTATGTGAGAGCCAGGGTCCTGAGCTTCAGGTAGCTCCCCATAGATGTAAATGAAGAATCAGTGAGGGAAAGATTTAAAGCATGCCAGGTGGGTGAGCCATCTCAGGATCTTCACGCCTCTGCCTGAAGCACATGATGACTTACGCAAATACATATGTAAACCAGAGATGTGGAGCTTACAGGTGGGGCCAGCAAGGCCCTGGGGCACCCTGGCTGCTAGGAAGCAAGTTGGGAGAGGACACAGATCAACCAGGGGCTCCTTAGTAATCAGTGAATGGAGTGTTTCTAGCATGGAGTCACGGTGTGCTCTGGGGAGTTTCCTAATGGAGAAGAGATGACAGCTTCCATCTCAGCAATTATTATTGTCCATAATTTTGAAGAAGCAACTTCTACCCTGAGGTTATAGATAATATTTGCATTGTGTGTCTTTTTGGTTGGCACTGAGAGGGGTGGGGAGAGAAGAAGAGAAAGGGAGACAGGAGAAGAGGAGGGGTGGGGAGGAAAGAAGAAGAGAAAGGGAGGCAGGAGAAGAGGAGGGGTGGGGAGGAAAGA